AGGCCCTTATGTGTCCCTTGATGTTTCCTGCATAAGGGACCTGGAAAGGGACGGAAACTACTGGCGAGAAGAGGGGCCCTTGCCCTCTCCCAGCGGAGCACGAAAAAGCTTCTTCGACTGCTCCCCGCCTTTGGCATTGTAGTGATATGGCTTCCTCCGCCACTCAGAATTCCGTCCACTGTATGATCGCACCTTCCATTCCTTGTTGCCTTTCGTGGCGGCAGGGTATTTAGAACCTGCAGAGGGCTTCGGTGGCTTAGTTTTCGGTTTCTGCTTAACTGCCTTGCTAGTAACTTTAGCTAGCGTGTCCTCCTCTTCCACAATCTCAGACCACTGTTGCGCCGCTCGCACCAAATCTTCCTGAATACTCCAAAGAGTATTGTCTCTTTTCCAACACTCATAGTTGGCCTCCTGCATGGTTGAGCGCAATGGTTTCGGCATGTCTGGAGCCTTAAAATAAGGTTCCGCCTCCGAATTGGGGCCCAGCCCAGACAATAACACCTTTTTCTGGTCTTCTGAAAGGATATTGGTGCGCTGCTCCTGCCACCAACTAAGAACCTGAGCGATATAGGCCACTCCTTCATCCTTGTGATGAGGATTAGTCAGAGCCAAAGGCGTCAACACTTCAGGAGGTGGAACACCCTCGTCGTTGTCTGAACACGCCATAACGGACAAGGCATCATCATCCCTGTCCCTGCGTCCCCGTGGGGACTCCAACGACGCTCGGCGCCGCTAGGTCAGACTCACTATCAGAAGAACTAGACTGAGATAAACTAGGCCCAGACCGACCATCTCTACACCTAGACGACCTAGACCGGTAACGAGACCGAGACCGGCACCCAGAGCCCTCCAAAAGGGACGTCCGAAGCTCATCAAACTTAGCGTCCAGACGCTGATCCAGAATGGCCAACTGATAACTATTGAAGCCAATGGGCCCACTCCTAACATGAACCCCTTGGCCAGCATCCGGAGCTCCCTCACGACCGGACAAACCGAGGCGTGAGGGCTATCCACATGTGCCCGACTCACTGATGGAAGGCGAACACTATCTAGACCTACTGCATCTTGACCCACTAAATGGAGGCACGATGAAGCACCCCTCTCCGCATCACGACCCACAAACGGGAGGGGTGAATTCGCGGCAGAAGGCTGAGCCAATTTAGCCCCCAAATTCGCCGAAACCAAGGTTTCAGGAACACTTTCAGCACCTACGTTCTTAGATGTAGATAATCTATCTGACAACAAAACCAAAAGCAAAACTACTCACTGTTAACGAAAAGCAAAGCAAAATATACCAATATTTTGATTTGTACCGGTCTATACCACCGTGCAGTTTAGAGAAGAGGACGGTGCAGGATGGGAAGGGTATGGATTTACGCTTTGAAGACTGGTTATACCGCCAAGCGGCTGGGAAACGCCTAGTGATTCGAAACCGAAAGATGACGCAGTATAATTTCAGAATAAGAATATGCCATTAGTCACAAAAGAGGAGACGGGTTGGTGACAGGGTTGCCAGATAGTCGACAGTCTTCACGGTCAAACACACGCCATCTCACGGCCAAATTCATCCAAACTTTTTTTCGATATCGGCCAAAATTCGGCCAGATTTTAATCCGATTAGAAGACAAAAAGTGGGTACATACACGAAAATCAGCGGTCATTCGTTCGAAATTTAAGAAATTCAAATGATATACACAGAACAATGTTAAACTTTCACTGTTTTTCATCTATTAATTATCACCATAAATACATGCCCAGCTACATCATTATAAATAGCCTATGTTCTTTAGTTGCTGGCATGTAGGCCAATTCAGGGGCGAATCCACAGATGTACGAAGTGGGGAGGGGCCGGGACCGAAAAAGATATCACCATCTTGGAGAAATTTTTGTTTTCTAGACGCCCGAAAATAACCTCTGATCTGTTTGGGCGATCAATTTTTCTTTATTTTTTTTTCACTCCCCCCTCCCCACCCCAAATCTTCCTCTGCTTATTAAAATCACATTGTTAAGATTGATTTAAATTTGATTTAAATGTATTAAATATTAAGGTACATTGTAGTCGATCTATAGCATAGTTACCAACTGTCTTGCATTTCAAAGTGATTTTGGATGAAACACACATTTTGCAGAAACACATGCGTGATCCATAAATTGTCACGCATTTAGCACAAATCTATGCGTGATAACGAATTATCACGAATTCAGGGGAAATGTATTTAAAATTAAAAGAAATTGGTTTTATTTAAAATATATATATATAAATAATCATGTAGAAAAAATTCAACTGAATAGAAGCCAATTTATCAAAGAAAGTTTCAACAATAAGCATTAAATAGAATATTTTGTAAATAGCATTCAGTTTTCCATATTTTTTGTGTTTGGTAATTGTTTGTAGACAGGTCACTCATCACAATATGCAGTCTTTTAACGCCAACACAATGTCAATGGCTGCCGAATGTATGAAGTCAGACGGCTACAAGTACCAGTACCAGTAACAGTAATTGAGTCATTAGAGAGTACATAATATTTATGTGAATATTTATTTCACTGACGCGTTACTAAAAATTTATTAGTGAAATGCTTAGGTCAACATAGTTCGGGTGCTCAATTACATTGAAACTAAAAATACTTTTGCTTATGTCACCGTTATTGTCAAGACACACTCTCTGAAATCGTTTTAAAACAGCTTTAACGCTCAGATCGTCGGAGCGCCTGGGGCCACACCCCCTCGACCCCAGCTGGGCTCCGCCTCTGGACCCCCCCCCCCTCAGCCAAATGGTGTAGTCACTCACGCATATCAAATCTCTCAGGTTGGTAACTATGCTAGAGCAAAACATTTAAGGGCCTGTTATTGGCAAATCCGCGATGAATTAAGTTATAGGCTAGTATGTAACACAAACTGGCGTTAAAACAACCTATGAAAACTTTGATAAATACTTTATATCTAAACTTTTTAAATTCGCCTCTGAATGTTATTGTCGCAGTACTTAAAGCAATAAATCAATGTTGCTATCAGAATTATCTTCTTCATTCTCATATACAACCTAACTCTAGAGTAACTTCGAAGAAGTCTCTGGCACAACGCTTACTTGAAATTGGAGGTGCCATCGGACCCGAATGATCACATCGAATTCTACATAAAGAAAACTGCAGCACCTAGGCCTATAATACAATTCAAGTGGGCAATAATAAATTAATTAAAGTACAGTATTTAATTTATATTCCAAAGAGATTCCAAAGAGATAGAACCTCCACTAGGATGGAACATATGCAAACACACACAATATATGGTACAAACTTGCATTGAACTGTCTTCATAAAGCTTAAACGAGGATAAACTTATAAAAAAAATAATATTTCATCCGAACAATTTAAATTATTAAATGCAACTGTTATCTTTTAAATAAACTCTCTTACGTCCAATCGGCTAAAGGGTCCGGGTAACAGGCCTAGATTAAGCGTTTAGTGCAAGTAAAAACAAAGGTACATGATTAGAATCAAATATGAATTTAAGCAAACAAAAACAACATATCCAAAACAAGTCTACGTTATATTAGGCCTATATTTTAAAAAAATGTAAACTTTTTAAAAATTCGGCCAAATATATTTTGGCCGTGACTTTTCAAACGTTACGGCCAGGCAAATTTTTATACGGCCAGATTTGAGGAATCTGGCCGTCAAAAAGGCCAAATGGCAACCCTGGTTGGTGAAATCTGTCCAGAATACGGGCTTTTTCTGTCCAGAATACGGGCTGTATGGTGGCGCTGTTGTCCAGAATACGACAGAGCCGTAGATAGAGAGAGTTTGGCCAACTTGGCGCATGGGCGCCATGTTGTCACCAAACAGGGTGCGCGCGTATAGCTTTATAACATTTTATAAAACAGTGACACTGATTCTGCATAAACTTTCTTTCATTATTCTGTTCATGAGGACAATTCAATTATGGGAATTTAACATATCATTGTAAATATCATATATAATCATATTTACCTAACTTTAGAATTAATTAATCAGTGATGTGCTGTATTATCTCGCACCCCAGGCCTGGGGTGCGAAAATTTTGAAAATATGGACCTCAGGGTGCTTGGAAGTTACACTCTCATACTTTAAAAATCTACCGGAACTATGTTCATGTTCATGTTTTTGTACCCCCCTCCTCTTCCCTCCTTTCCCCCACCGCATCCGCCCAGGATCAATATAGGCCTACTATTGACTTCTGATCGCAGGAGTTCGAGACCAATGCTCGTCGCATTCCTTGTGCCCTTGAAAGGCAAGATACTTTACCTATACGTTTGCCTTTCTCCACCCAGTAAGTAGTACAAGTAGGTACCTGTGTTAGGTTCGTCGATTACTAGCTGCAATTCTGCCCAGGGAGATGAGTATGTCTTCCATCGTGTTTGATCAAATGACCCGGGTAATAATCTGAAGCATTTGAGGCTCATAGTACCAACCGTCTCGCATCATGCGGGACGTTCCCGCATTTCAAAGTGTTTTGGATGAAACACGCCTTTCGTGATCATAAATTTCTCACGCATTTTGCACAAGCCTATGCGTGATATCACGAATTTAGGGGAAATGTATTTAAAATTAGAAGAAATTTGTGTTATTAAAATATAAAAACGGTCTTGCATAACTTGAGTCGTTAGATAGCTTTCGTTCGATAATCAATTTAACGGGAACATTTCTTTTTCCCGTTTAAACGCAAACCACCCACCCCCATCCAGCCAGCTGCTATCACGCATTTCAAATTTCTATGCTCGAATAAGCTCTTGATTATAAGCGTCGCCCTCGAATAAGCGCCACACCAAACGTGACCTTTTTTGCTAAGCATCACTCTAAAATAAGCACCGCGGCGCTTAATTTCAAGTGAATAAGCGTCTGTGCAATGAAACTCAGAAATAGGGTAATAAATATATTGTACACATCGTTCAAATGAATAAATAACACAATAAAGACACGAACATCCTTCTAAACATTTATTTAGGATAATGTGTGAGGGGGGTCTATGATAGGTTAACCGAAATTTGGGAATACGTGAAATTGGTAACATAGGAACAATGGAAAGCTCCACACCAATATTTTTTTTTTTAATAAGCACCAGAATAAGCGCTGCTCTCAAATAAGCGTTCTCCCCACTTAGGAGTATAGATGGGTACGGTACCTGGTGGGATTGCCTACTCCTGCGATGTTACCAGCAGCATTAAAACACTTAAAACACGAGGACCAAGTAAAAAGAAGCGCTTTGTATGTACAAAAAAAGGCGCTGATATAAATAATAAATAATAAAATGTTCCCAATATTATTTCATGAATAACGATCAAATATTCCTATTTTAGTGTAAAATATTGAGCCTTCTATTGAATGAATGCAACATGAATAGAGTAACGTCTTAGAATTAATAGTGTATGTATGGTATCTATTAGAATCCTATGAAAGTACACGAAAAACAAAAGAAACGAAATCACCATTGTTAAGGGTCAAAGTTGACATGATTGGTTTATATGAAGTAACACATTCTGTAGGCCAATACCGAAGTTCACTCTAAGGATTCGGGGGGAAAATCTGGTTTATTGTTCAAAACTTGTTAAAATATGAAGTTGAATTAATTGTTCTTACTTTAGAATGCTGTAGTTGTTGTGATATAATGATTAAAACAAAATAGGTGTCCCCTTAATAGAGGTTATTTGACCATTTGGCACACTCAGAAGTGTCCTCATCCCCTTATTAGGGGTGTCCCCCTTTTAAGGTTTTATGGTTGTTAAGGAGTTAAAAGATATATGTTGCCCCTCGTTTCACTGAAAAGTGTCCCCTTAAATAGAGGTTTCGACCATTTGGCGCACTCAGAAAGTGTCTCCGTCCCATTAATAGGGGTGTCCCCCTTTAGGGGTTTGCCGTAGTGTTAAAAGATATATTGCCCCTCGTTTCACTGAAAAGTGTCCCTTTAAGTGGTGTGTTTCCTGAATAGGGGTATCCCAAATGAGTGGGTAGTATGTAGGCCTGAACTTCATAAATATAGTAAATGACAATTGCAGTAGGTTCATGACCAAGACCCACGTAATCGCAAAGGTCTTATCTCAGATGTTGTCATGAAAAGTCAAGTATATTTTCTTCGAGATCTACTGCAGCATTTGAGCATTTTAAGCATGTACTAAAACAGCCAAATCATTATATCAACTCGATTCATATTGAGTCACTTTTTCCTGTTCAGGTCGAATTCTCACATCATGTAACCGCTGATAGTATTTGAGATTAACTTTTATGCAATAGTTTGCATCTTCTGACAGCTGAGAAGATGAGATGGTTGGTGATTGGTTGGTTGATTGAAATCCCTCGCTGTGAAATGCATTTTCGTAGAAGGCCAATAAAGTTTGCTCCTTTCTTTCCATCACAGACATTCTCCACTCTTTGAAAACCGAATCCCTTTTCCACCATCGAACAAGATTTTCGGTAAAACGTATCCCTAATTGTTGACAATACAACCTAAGAGTTCCTTCTGGATCGTTTAGTAGGTCAGAACAATCGATAACCACAGGGTTACAATCAATACCGTTCTTTTTTAGATGTTCATACAAATCGAAAGCTTTTTTGAAAAATATCTCAGGTTTAAAGACTACATGATTACGAAAATTACACTGTTTCGAATCGTTAAGAAAACTGCACCTACGTTTTACGAACTTTTCGAACGAGGCAATCACTTTTGTAGGATCTCGGATTAAGAAGACATGACGATATCCCGTAGGAAGTTGTTCGAATGGTGGATCGATTGCATACATCATTTCCCGGGCAAATATCACCTTCTTTCCGGGATATTCTGCTTCGTAGATATTTTCTTTCAGTTGAAGATCAGAAAAGTTCTCTAAAAAGTCCAATGTGTTTGCGTCATCAATGTCGGTGTCAGCAATGTGTTGGTAGTACTGTTTTCTTGTGTCAATGCTGTGATCATAATGGTCACTAATTATACCGTCTGAGCAGAACCGATGAGCAGACCTAAAAGGATGATTAATAACTTGAACGTCATCAAGGTGGCTCATGGAAATAGTAAATGCAGTTGAAAGAGTGCGAGGAATTGCCCATAGAACTATGCGAATTTGTTCACCGGCCATTAGTACATTTTATCTATATTTTAAAACTGGAAACGATGAATGCAAAAATGCAGAATAACCCAATGAAGACCTAAATGATTTAAACAACTGTCTGACCAAAGTTCATTCCGTTCATGCATAAAGATAATGGTCATACGTAAAATACGAGGGCGGTATGACAATACTATCTTTATGAAGCATGCCTACGTTATGCTTCTTCGCTGAAAAATATTGTATGTTATAAAAATTACGTTAAAATAATAATGAAAGTATTAAAATAATTTTATATATACAGGATTTAGAGAGTAATTTGGAGAGTAAACACGTTTAGCTTTTAAACGTGTCACTGAAAGACAACATTGCGTTGTGATTGCGTTTCCTCCACGCTGTTTTGACAGTGTACAGCATACCGATTACAAATTATACTCTCAGCTTTAAACACTAACATTAGTAGGGAAGTAGCACTCCTTGTTCAAACGTGAAAAATAGTAGTTACGGTACATAATCCGGGAAATAAATGGCAAAGTAAAAGCGGCCTTTTGGCGCCAACCAATGGTATGCTCCATCCCTAGCCTATGGTTGTGCCCCTTGTGTGAAGTTTAGAGGAAAACTTTTTAAATTCCTTTTTTTAACTTCGTTTTTTTTTTCTTTTTTTTTCTTTTTGTTTTTGTTTTTGTTTTTGTTTTTTGTTTTTGTTGTTGAATGAATGTTTATTTGTTTATAAATGCGGCGTGTTTGAATAAACGCCTCCTCAGATTCTCATTTGAAATAAACGCCTCACTGGAATAAAGGCCCCGGACGTTTATTTTTTTCCTCGAATAAATGCTCTCCCCACCTCCTAAATGACTAAACAAATCTAATGGAAGAAACATTATTCTGAACATATTTTATTAATGTTTTACTCCTCTAAAATTACAATTTTTCTAACCTGGTCAGTGCGATCATTAATAAGTCTTTACGATCACGCAATCACATTTTGAAGGTAATTAGGCCTGTGTTAGTTCCACATTTACAGTGGAATTAAGGAGCGTTTATTTTAATATACAGTAGGGCCTATACGTAGGTATCCACTTCACACATAAAAAAAATCATAAACTCCTCCCTCGATCGAATGTTTCCGTAGTAAACGCCTCCCTCGAATAAACACCACCCCTTCGTACACCATCAGCAGAAACGCCCCGGGCGTTTCACAAATTGTGAAAAGTTAGGCCTACCATTTTAATGGCGGATCTGAGGTGGGGAGGGGGGTGGGGGGGGGGGGGGGGGGCTAGCTAAAACTAGGCCCTAGCTGCTAAAACACGAAAAAAAAAGGAAAAAAAAGATCCCGCGCTTAGTCCTTGGTTAAGTGTCGCGTTATAAGCGCGTCAGAAACGCAATCACTATAATCAAGCAAGAATCAAGAATACCTCTGACAGTACTATCCATGGCCCTGTATACGGTACTTTTAATCGATCAATGAAAGTGAATGAAATCTCACTTGAAATTGGTTTTGCATGTTACTTAAAAACACACAACACAAAATAAAACAGTTATAGGCCTACCCAGAATATATTAAAACTTAGAATTGAGACAAATAAATATTCCATTGAGTTGATGTGCGGACTCTAGGCCCCTAAAAAACACTCAAGTTTCAACGTAAATTATAAAAGTGAAGATAAAAATATTGTATATATAGGGCCTACTTAAATATATGACAGAATAATGAACATGAGGTAAGATCCCACATTACCGTATGTTATCTTTTGCAAATCCTCTTCGTTTGTTTGGAGATGTAGTTTGGTAATTTAGGAAAAATCGATTATAACACTGAGTACACGGTATCGTGAATCAGGCAAACAAAACATTCAATTAGATATCTGTGAGATTAAAATGATTGATAAAGTAAAGAGATAGTTACCACCCACTAAACCCATCTTTTATACTTGGCTACCCTCGGGTAAAACTGAGGTTAAACTTATCACTAGGCCAACTAGGCTAGGTCTACCTCTGTAGAACAAATCTCAATTCTCGTACCACTGTCCCTGATTAGAATTCTTAATCAAAATTTCGAATAAGCCTAATTGTAATTATACTGTTGTTGTTTTGTATTAATCTTGCACTTTGTTTTGCGATGTGATGTACCAACTGCAAAAAAAAATATCTGCCACTATTTTTGTAGTGTAACGCATTAACGCGTCAATGATTTGTTTGACGTCCTTTCTCTTCACTTTGCAAATGGTAGCACGAGATAAAGTTCGGTACGCGCGGATAGAGGAATGTAATCACAAGGTACGTAGGCTGGGTTTGCGATCTTATATTCCATGTTTTAACGACTCTTGAGTGTTGTAAAACAAAATGGACCTAGACAAATCAAGTACAATACGTAATTTAATTTTATTTGGCCAACTTTAGTGCTTGGCTGTCGTAATTTGTCATTTTCTAGGTAAGGCCTCACCTACTAGGCTAGGGCCGGCCCTGGGCTACTACTGTACTGACGTCTACGTCCAGGCGTCAGGCCTAGGCAGGTCTACTTGCACATGAAGCCTAGCTGGGGCTATACCTGTCTCTTATACACATCTAGATGTGTATAAGAGACAGGTGACAACACTTTAAAATATAAAATCATGCATGGAATAGGGCTACCATCCTGTAAAGTTTTTTAATTTAACGTGTAGGATATCTAAAAAATCAGCTCAAATTTGTGCGGAAAAATGTTCGGAAAATAGGTGCGCAGAATCGTAATTGCATTGGTTATTTTAAGATTTGGTCAAAGTCTAATTTTCACAAAATCTGCATGGAAATCAGCCGTTATTTTCCAAAATGCGCAGACAAATTTTTAGGTAAAATTTTTGCGCAGAGGATATATTCCCTGTGCAGACCTTACTATACACTCTTATAGGGCTACTGTATATCCTCCGTACAAAGATTAGGCCTAGAATTCCATCTGCGCATTTCAGAAAAATATGTCAGATATCCTTGCAATTTCTTGCAGAAGATTAGGCCTTGGCCTGTCTCTTAATATACAACCATGTATTAAGCAGTAGTTAGGTTTTTGCACACCTGTTTTCAAGTGGCGGCGTTATGTGGTAGGGGGAAGTTTTGTGGGAAAAATGAACATTGTAAGCAAATTGGCCAACAAAATTATTTGCTCTGATTGGTCTGTCTGTCATTTCAAAGACACTGGCCACTTAAAAACAATGCATTTAACAAATATTTTCCTTGTATAATAAATTACTGAGCATTTAAATAAGAATACAAGCCAGGGGTTTATTTAAGAATTTGAGTAGCAGGAGAAATTTGAAAGTAACAGGAGAGTAAATTGAAATAGGCCGGGGGTATAAGGGGCCGCCTAGGCCCCCATCGCGGTCCAGGGGCAGAGCCCTGGTCGGGGGTCAAGGGGGCGGAAGCGCCATTGCGCTCCAGGGTTTTAGAGTTTTTTAAGCCCATTTGATGGCATTTCTCTGCATCATTTTTTTTAAACAGTTTTTCAGAATCAATTACTGAGCTCTAAAAAAGTTGATATTTTTACATATTCTTCATACATAGGCCTACCTAGCCTAAATAGATACTGTAAACCAGAAACTTTCGCGAATTGATAATTTCGGCCGTTTTCGCGACATTAAACTTTCGCGAATCTCAAAAAGCCTAAATTTAATTCATGAGAGGAATATCATACAATAGCTGAAAATATCGTATCGTGAGTTTAGGCCTAGGTTAGATAGGCCTACAGCCACTGTGTAGGCTACAGTATTAGGCAGGCTAAGGCGCCATAAGCCTGCCAGGACTTAGCTGGCTATCCCAGGCACAGATAAGAAAGAGACAAGTTTACACACATACAGTACTCACTCATATGATATTCCTTAATTTTGTATGGTATTCAAGCATCCTACAAAATGAACAATGTTTATCAATGTTTTATTAACAAACTATTTTCCTGTAGGCCTAATATCGATTCAAACATTGATTGATGATGATTGAACATCGTGGTATGTCATATGGTACGGAGAATTAGTTTCCCATTTGAACTTCTTAGTATACACTGCACAGTGGTTGCACATGTGCAATCACATGCAGTGAGGATCAGAACCTCCTTGATTAGTATACTTACTGAGTAGGTTAGAATAGGCCTAGAAATTACGAATTTTTAGAGCTCAACATCGGAATTTAAGGTCAGAATATTGATTCAATAATTGAAATACATTCTTTTTTAAGTTTATACACATTTAATAAAATCCACCAAAAAAATTGAAAATACAATTTTTATAATGATGAAGTTGTTTACTTTTCACAAACATGTTGAAATTTGTGGGGATTCACCATTTTAGGCATATGCCCTAGATCTGCGTTGAAGAAAACATCTAAAGGAGAGCAAAAAATAGTTCTAAAATTTACGCAGATATCGAAAAGGAATGGATACCAAATTGGAAAAAAAAAATGTCTCATGTGATGTGAATTGAGACGATTTGGCTTGCTCTGCCATTTTAATCATTGTACTATCTATGACTCTGAAATTGTAAGTGTAAACAGCATTCAATATAGTTGGTTCGGCTTGCTATCTCCGCCACCGAATGTAAACGAATTTGAGCCAGTGTTGGTTTTTTTATTTAATTAATTATTTATCATTTCCGAAATATCTATGTCATCACAAAGAGGGCTAGTAAAATAAAAATGAAATGAAAATAAAAGGTTCATAGTCCTACACAAATTAATTTTAAAACGACGATCTGTTTTTTTCTTCTCCGCGGTAAGAAAACCCGGAAGCCCAATGTACAGTAAAAGAGTTTGGGCGATGTATATCATCATCACCTGAGCATGTGGTAGAGGAGAAATTTCTATTATCTTATTGGCTAACATGTGATTTGGAGGCGTGGCTTCTTTGATGGACTCACCCAGACGACAGTATTTAGACAGTGCATTTTTTAGACATTTAGGCCTAGGCCTAGACAGTTTTTCATAGGACCAGGCCTATAGTATACTATTATTAGTAGGCCTAGGGGCCTAGGTCTATTATTATGGGAAAAAAATGCACTAGCACAATTAATGTGACAAAGATGGCATGGCATGACAAGTCTAGGCTAGGCTAGTAGTAGAAACCTACTATCTTTACCGTCAGCTGGATAAGGCTGCGAACTCACCTGCTGCGGGACTGGAGCAGTGTCCCGGACAGGAGTGCGCTACTGCTGCTGTGTAGACACTGACTGTGCTAATCCTAGGCATAGGTGTAGGCCTAATTATAAACAAACAAGTCAAGTCATCGGACTGATATACGTTTATTAATTCAATTGAATTATTCCTCCATGATTGAATTGACGTTGACTAAACCGTCTCTCTGTAACTGCGTACGTAAACGACCACAAAAACTCACGACTTCACACTAGTGTACTGTATCTAGGCTAGTCGCTCGATCATCGGGACGATTTTTCGATCAGCTGCTCGCCAAAAATTAATTGACAGACTTGTCTTGAATATTAATGAGTTGGTTAGAAAATGCTACCAAGCTACTGAAAAAAGTGATCAGCCTCGTTTTCACCTGATTTTCCTGTCTCATCATATCATGTTTTGTTTCTGTAATTATCCTTACATCTCAACATTTTTAATTTTTTAAGTATTTTTCCCGAACTCAGGAAAGGTTAAATAAGCAATATATGGCCACTTGTCTCATCCCCGCACCCCCCCTTTAAATTTAATATTGTATATTTTTTAAGTATAAAAAAATTGTATATTTAACGAATCAGTTGTTAAATTTTTCTTTAATATTTTCTTATGTAACTCTCGTCTTTGTAATTTTTGATTTCGTCTGTCTTTTTAATGTTTCAAATGTGAATTTTAATATTTAGTATTGCACTATTTTAATAATGACTTGTAAATTTTTAATTGCCAATGTTATATTTTTGTAGTTTTATATTCAGTCTTTCAATTCAGCATATGCTGCAATAGACTGTTTTGTATGTGAGTTTCTTTTTAGTTCCTATGCATGTAATGCAATAGGAACTATTGTAATCACTTTTCACTGTTTTCCCTGTGTGTGTGTGTGTGTGTTTTCCGAGATTTTGTTCGATGTGAAGTTTCTGCAGTGTTCAGTTAGGGCTCACGCTAACCGATCGGCAAGTCAGCATAGATGAAACTGTTTTGGTTTTGCGGCAAAAAAATATCAACTGCTGTAGGCATAGGCATTTTGAAGAAGGCCTAAAATATAAAAAAAATTTTCTGTTGTATGAGTTGTCATATGAAGGTACTATATCCCCGACAGTTGGTTGTGCAGCAGTGTACCCTTTGAATGCAAACTGAAGACAAGTGAAGATATAAAGGCAGTCGACTGTCGGGTACATAATGACTATCTAGCTTAAGCTTTCCACAAAAACATGAGGCCTAAGCTTAGTTTTTAGTACAGTAGTTACTGCGATGCGAGGGTGGTAGATCGTTTAATCAATGATATCATGTTATCGTCTAATACATAAAATACATTTAAATAATGTGTGTAAAATTTAAGAATGCACCGCGTGGGTCACTTGCTTTGCTATGCGGTAGTACAGTATATTTAGCAGAGTGACGGCAGCATGGCTAGGCCTAGCCTAGGGCCTAGATCGTGTACGTTCTTAATCATCGTGATGAAAACTTCGGATGACAGACGATTTGGCCTAACTGGTGTGGACGATCGGGCCCAAGCTATTTTCAATAGAATTGTAGTCTAGTAGGCCACTGCCAGCTCCCTCACTCCCGATATTGTTTCAAACTACTGTAAAAATCAAATACTGTATACCTAGCTAGGCCCTCTAGGCCTACAAAATTTTTTCGAAGAAATTTGCTAAAAATATTAATTACTGTAATTTGCCTATCAAATTACATTACCAATGTGGTCTAAAATCACTATTTTGGGCCATAAAAACTCTCCCTGAATTTTTCAACCATCACACAAATTTGACCCTTCCATATTTTCAGATTATGTCATTTTTGATGACTTAATCAGGAAATATGGTTGGTTAAGTCATGTATCATGCACAGGAACATTGACGCTTGCAAGGCTCTGGTTTGCAATCAAATATACCCAAATATATATTTAAAAATCAAAAAATATTTGCATCATATCTTTAAGAACAAGAAACATCTTTTCGACCATGAAATTTCCTATGAAAAGGATAAAATAAAATTCATCTGTGTCTGTGGGAAAGTTCCATCACTAATCACCATGATTAAAATTTAAATTATGTTTTCTCTTTACTTAGAATTATAGCAGAAGATGAATGGAAAAGCCAAACTTTTGAATGGCTTACAGCAGCTAGCACAAGAAGCAACAAGTCTCCATAAGCGAGTATCATCAATCAGAGATGTCCCGACCAGTTGTGTGTCTGTAGGAGAAGAGTTGCTACATAATGCCTATTCAAAACTGGTGAGGCTAAGTCGTGAGCTTGATTCAGCTGAAATATTGCAGGATGTAGACCCATGTCAGGACCAGAGTTTTACTGATGAATCTGTTCTAGAAGTAAGTCAATTGTTTCTTTTAAGGTATACCAAAAAGTATATAGAAAGGGAATGGAGCACAGTCCTGTTTGAAACCATGTTGCCATTGTTTGCCATGAAAGTGTGCCCGTAGCAACTCAGCAGTCATAAAAAGTAATTTGCGACAGTAATTCGTAATTTGCTGCATAAACTAAATCAGTGCAAATTGGCACTCCAACATCATATGGCCCGGGTGAGGCGAGACTTTTTCATACCTTGTTTCGCAAACTTGTTTTTTTTAAAGATCGTCAGAGGAGGGCAGAAAAAAAAATAAAAAATAAAATTTTGTTGTCTTATTTAGCAAATAGTTTTGCGAAAAACGTTCAGATGAAGGAGAAAATAAAAATGAAATTTTATTGGTGAAAGTAAACAGTGTAGTGATGAGATGGTCAAATGCTTTAAATTTATATAATTAAGAAGAAATATACATCTTTATTTTTGGATATTTCAAGGCAGCGGCGGGCGTAATAAAAATAAAGAAAATCTTTTATTGTTTTCTGAAATTTTTATTTTTTCGTAGCGTTGGGTGCGCAAATTGGCCAAAAAATAAAATGTTATTTTTATTCGAAATCATCATTTTTTGTGGCCAGCGGTTTTGAGGGTTATATATCTGCTTTGCTAACAATTTACTATCACTTGATCTGTGCCACCAGCCATCTATTCTTGATGAATCATCAAATGCAACCAGACACGATGAAACAGATGGTGATGTCGTGAATGTGAAGAAAGAGGAGGAAGAGGAGGAGCTCTGGCCAGACGAGGATGATGATGATTTTATAATCAAGGTAATTTGTTTGTTTGTGACGAAAATGTGTGCATGTTGCCCTTTTTTTTTCAATCATGAATAAAAAGTTTTGTAACCCATGTCACCAGCAAATAGTAAAACACTCTTGCATGTTGCCCTTTTTTTTTTCAATCATGAATAAAAAGTTTTGTAACCCATGTCACCAGCAAATAGTAAAACACTCTTAACTTAAATAACGTATATTTACCTTTTTAGGAGATGGATTCTGTCCTTGATAATTCAAATAATGAAGGGGAAATAGAAGAAGAGGTGGAAGAAGAACCTGGTGAGTAAAAAATAAGGTGATTTGAGCGTGATATTGGGGGTCCACTGGGGGCGTGAGTATTTTTTTCTGGGGTGGGACGGGTGTACCTCCCTGTTGCCCCCCCTTGATACGCCACTTGGCCTAACAGACAAGTTCACACAACAGCCAATATTATACAACATTACTTTATCAAGCTTACAATGACACCAATTTGAATTAAACGTTTTTTACACATTGATTTGACAGTCAGATATATCAGTGTTCTGCCCATTTACATCAAACAAAACAAGTCTGGGATAAACAAAACAGTTAAAATAACTGATTGTGTATTATCACGTTTATCAAAAACTGAGCAATCTGTCACAAAAACTTTACTTTAAATGTCCTTGTTGAATCAGTAATTCATCAAAAGAGAGAAGGGGACATTTGGAATCTGTGGATCTATAGAATAATTTATATTAAACATATTTTCTGCTCAGTTACTTAACATCTATGGATGTTTGCATTTCATCAGTCTGATTCACACGTTCGCTGCCATGGACAAGAAAACCCCGTCTTACAAGGCGTTTCAGACAGAATAGAGTATACTCGCAGATACGCTATTTTTCGTATTCTGTATTTAAGTTGTGGCGGTGCCACAACTGTACAATCACGCCAGTAGCAGTTCAGGAAGGTACGTAATAATCTTAATGTAGATTTGAATTGTTTATTGTGTTTTATTACGTGCAACTGGGAATACGTTTAATGGCACCTTTTAAATTTGGTTGTAGTAAAAGACGAAAACCTTTGTTGTTCCACATGGCAGCGAATGTGTTAAGAAGATTTTGTAAATTGATGAAATTGCACCAAACCTTAACACAAATTAGCCACGTTTACACAGTTGAACTTGCCTTAGTAGAATCCAAAATGCCATTGAAAAATTGTTTGACTCACAGTAAATAAAATTCGACTTACAGATTTAAATTAATGGAAAACAACAATTTGGCGTGTAAAATAAAATCGACTTGGAAATTATTCGAGTTAGACAAAGCCGACTTAGGCAAATTTAACTGTAATCATTTACTTAGCTCATTTTTGTTAAATCAGATTCTTCTGAAACGTAATAATTGTTTGAGATGGTTTGTAATACATATTACTGTATTGTTTTTTTTTTTTTGACTGAATCTTTGAATTATTTTTCAATTTTGCAGGTATGGCAACATTAGTGAAGCAAAAACCATTTAATCATAGAAATAAATTAAAAGATGTTAGACCAGCTAACCCTGAACAATTACTGACTGGCGTTGAAGCTTTTGAGTTGCCAACTACCAAGAGAAACGAAACATGGAGACAGAAATTAATGAAAATGAATCTTGAAAGGAGTAAGGTACACCAGCAGCAAGCCACAACAAGTTATCAATGGTACCGCCAGAGAATAACAATGACTGACGAAAAAAGACGAGTGAGTAATGAAGGTGCTAAATTAAGAATGAGAAAGATGAGAGCAAGGAAAAAAGAGAAAGCCAGAATTGCAGCTGGTGGTATAGTTGAAGAAAAGCCAGATGTGATGCAAACACCACAGAGGGAAGAAGAAAAGGGGCATGCAAGAATGGCAGACCATCGAAGGCACACCAGTGCAGTGATTACGAAAAGACAGGAGCAAAGACTAAAACAACAAGAAATGCCATCTTACAGAAGAAAAAATGCAGAAACTAAAACTGATGCAATTACAAGCATAGCTACATGTATAGTTAAAGAAAACAATCAATTAATACGAAAACTGCAGAATGAAGACAGAAGACAGGCACACCAAATGCTGTCCCAAGTTCAAAAACAACCGTTTCAACTTGGAATTAAATTACCCTCTGATCTTAGTTCAAAAGAGTGTAAGCTAGTGGAACCGGAACAATGGTCTACGGCTCCTGCTGATTCTGTTCATTTGCCAAAGACAAAGAAAAAAAATGAATGGAGACAGAATCTGAAAGAAAAATATCCTACTGTGTATAAGACATTTGGACAGACAGATGCAAGTTACCAAAGATATCGCAGAAGTAAAATGACTGATGAAGAAAGAATAATAAATAGAGAAAGATCAAAATTGCGAATGAGAAAGATGAGAGCTAGAAGAAAAGCAGAGAAAGCAAGACTGGCAGCTGCTGGTATCATGAAAGAAGAAATGCAAGTAACACAAAGGCAGCTGAATGAAGACGATTAGAGGCGTGCAAAAGAAACAGCGAGAAAAAGGTGCTACTGTGCAAACCTGAGCGAAGAGAAGAGAAATTAACTAAATGCTAAAAGATTTGTGCAAAGGAAAATAAAACTGGATGAAAGGCTTTGTTCTGAGAGCTTGTAGAAGAAAAGATAAGGCAATTAAATAAAGAGATTAACAGCACTATAGAGGAAGAGACGCGATATCATAGAGAGTTAGAAGAATAGGAGGTGTTAAGCTAAGTTTATCGGATGTGAGACATTAAGTATTAACACGTTCTCTGCCAGGACGCAAGCTCACGTCTGGCAGGGTTCACTCAAGGACGAAAATGAAGTGAGTTCATATCCAAACCTTGGAAGTAATGGGAATGATTCTTGTGGCTTTATGCTTTGGCATTATCGGATGGAACTAGGAAAAATGTAATGGCAGTCTACATTTTAACACATTATTTACAAAGATGTGTAAATTTCAAAATATCAGGAACAGCAGGTTTTATCCACAAAGAATATTATTCTTACCTTAAAATTGTAATTTATTAAGTGCTTTTGTTAAAAAAATAAAAATAGATGCATGCTTCTACAAAAATCGTATTCATTAAATATTGTACGTTTACTGTACTATATTAATAACTGTAATACATAATAAAGCTTACAGAGTGAACTTAAGAGAATAAATTATGTTGTCTTAAAATTAAAAGTATTGAAATAGTTTTAAGATGGATGGCAAGGTTTTGATTTGGAAGCATGTGGTATTCCTTGAAGAAACACACATCTGTAGTCTGCAACATGCATTGCAAGAGATTTGGGGAAAATATTGCCTTTTGGTTGTGAATTTGCCAAAAAAAAAAAAGGTGTAGGATATGATTCAAAGATTTTATAAGACCGGTACTTATTCAAGATGGGAGTTAGAACATGGATTCTTCACTTATTGGCATTCCCCTAGAATTTGTCCTGGAAATGACAGCTTGTTCATGATGCTTCCATTCTATATCTAGTTAAATTTATGACCATGTAAATAGAAGGTGATAAAGTATATTGGCATTTTCAACTATCATGGGATTGATGTTTTGCCCATTTTGACGTGTTTTCCTACCGAATACTCAGTACATTTCCAAAAAATCGCAAGTGATTCAGATGGGAATCTGATCCCCAAGTAGTAGCGGGTACTACAAATGGTATTTCTATGCGAGTTTGGCATCGCTCCTACTGTATGGTACTTTCCTGATGCAAACATGCATCGAAATAACTAATCTTTTTTAGACGCCAACATAAACTTGAGAATGGGGAACTAACCCTATTCTAATGGAGGGTGTACATCAGCACCCCCCAGCCTATACCTATGCCCTTCACAGTACAACACAAGAAGGCAAGTAGGTCATTTACTTTTAAACAGAAATGTAATGTTCATACATGTTAAACAAAATTTTAATGTTCGTATATGTTAATGTGTCGCTATTATACTTTTATTTATTGATATAGCAGTTATATTTATATTTGTTTTACAAAGGGAGTTCCTATTGAGGAATAAAAGTTATGTTTTCATTAATACATTTATTTATCGATATAGACTATGTTATATTTGTTTTACAAGATTCCCATTGAGGATTAATAAAAGTTATGTTTTCTTATATTTGTAATTGATCTCTTTCAATATATGTTCCAAAAAATCTGCACAAATTTACTTATCAATAGTAAATTTAAGACTTTTTAAATAAAATTAACATAAAAATGCTCGAATAACGGCACTTACAAAATTTGTGAACGCTTCGGTGCAAAGCTTATTCGAGAGCAGCGTTTATTTGAGAACAGCGCTTATGAAAAATGCCAGTTTCCATATTACATAGCTTACGTATACCTGTAGTTCAGTAGACCCATCAGGTCTACGTCAAAAATTTTTTTTATAGAGAAATGCTTGTGTCTTTATTGTGTTATCCATTATAACCTGTGTTATCCATTATAACACTGTATACATTGCATTTAAAATCCTGTTTCTCAAAGTGTTACATTACACATACATAAACTCTCAATTAAGTGCTGCATTGCTTATTCGAGAGCGGCGCTTATCTAAAAAAGTCAGGCTTGGTGCAGCGCTTATTTAAGAGTAGCGCTTCTTCGAGAGCGGCACTTTATCGAGCATTTACGGTACTAACAGACTATGAACAAATTTAATGCAACAGAATCACATCACCTGCATATCATTTGGAACCAACGATAAGTAATAATTGCTGGGTAGGAAAACACATACCTCACAAGCTAGTCTCCAAAATTATTACAGTACAGTATACTATACTGCTTTACCAAGCATGTAAAGGTTTGCAAAACAGCACATCTACAAATATATGCTTAAGAGCCATATATGGAAGTTTTAGTGTCTTGGAACTTTTAATGGATTCTTGTGAGGTGATTGAAAGGGAGCGTGTTTGTGTGTATAGTCAGTGTGTGTATTTCTTGTTCTGCATCATGTAGGACTGAGTTCCAGTCCTAACACCCTCCTAACACCCATATTCTTAAAACAAACTTTAGTCGAACTTCGAACTAGAACTTCATTTAGTGCTAGTTGCAACTTCAACTTCAATTTGTATTCACAAACAACGACTAACTACGACTTTAAATCAAGTCCTAGTTTTAGTTCAACTGAAGACGACTGGCAAGCCACGACTCTCAAACCAATAAAAAGGGCTAATTTTAATAGCAGAGGAAATTTTAGAGATATAGTTACGAGGATAAATATTAAGCTGCCGTCTGTAGTTCAAAAACGTATTTCCTCATAATTCATAATAGACTATCATTCGCTTAATTAATTTATAATAATAAATATATTAGTTGTTAACATATTATGATAAAGAATTTGAACAGTCACTGAAAATTTGCTTTCTTTGAAGAACTATTATAGTTGAGCCCGAGCGAGGGCAGCACCAGCTTTGTTGTTGTTATGGTGAAGCTAGGTGATCGCAGCACAAGGGGATTTCGTGCAAATCCTGAACTATCGCATGTGGCTAGCAAAACATGTTAATGTTTCCTTTTGGAAGCTAAACTTGATGGTTTTGGTCGAGGTTAGCGTGATTTAGTTGTATTGCTAGTCAAAGTTCGTTTTAAGAATACAATATGACGTAATTTTTTAGGTTTAGCTCGACCTACGAATGAAGTTTGTTTTAAGAACACCGGATTTAATAAGTAAAAACTATTTAAAATAAATCGATTTTGGCACCAATGGCATTCCATATAACTTCTCTGCACCAATGGTGCAGGTATTCCATACAGTAGGTTTACTATACTTTTCTCCCATCCAAATTCAACAACTTAACAAAATCAGATGCTGGTTGCACTCTTCGAAATTTTCTAACACTATGAAAAAGTCGTTGGCGTGTGTCATCGCTTTGCGCAAATCATAGAATCGCGTCGGCTGACGACCGTCGGACGCATTGAATGCCCAGCCTCATAAGTGAAGGTCTATCCTCTATAAGAAATGTATGTTTTGAAAATTTGAAAACTGACTTGTGTAAAATTAATAGGTACTTTTTGGACATTTTCTTAGAAGGTTCATTTGAATTTAGGCACCAATTACTTTTAGATAATATTTTTGATACATACCAGAATACCATATTTGATAACCATTGTAAAACATATTTAACAAAAGCAATGACTGAAAGAACTGAACTAATGAAAAACATTACCACCAATATTAAATTTTTATGTTATTTACTGTACTTATAAACTTATATATTTTGTCATTTTTATTTATTTATTTACTTTATATTCTGTTTTTTTTTTTCTTTTCTTTTTTTTTTTTTGTACATCAAGTTATTCCTTACAGAATAATGAGAGTAACATTTGTTTTGTTTGTCTAGTATTTTTTCTTTACTCATTTATCTTTTCAATAATTCATTTTTATATATTGTCAGTTGTTGTTTTGTAACTGTTGTACGGGTCAGACCTCTCCTGCGCGAGTGTTCCTCTGTTATAAAAGAGAGAACTAATAAATCTTATCTTATCTTATCATAAGTCATTCAACTTAATTTAAACTTAAAAGCTATGTCTACACTATCAAATTTTATTTGACACATTTGTGTGATGTGCCCATATATGGCCATGATGATGTCATATTACTTCCAAATATGGGCATATCGCATTTGTTCTTTCACATAAAATTGTTATAATGTGAACAGTAATTTCATCATGCATAAACAGTTATTAATACATTTACAAGCTTTCAATTATTGATTTTATTGTCTTTTATCATTTACAGATGCAGATATAGTGCCACCAACAGCACAACACATCAACACTTTGAAGACACAATTTGGTCATTCTAAGTTTAGGCCGTTAGTATATTTTTCGTTTATATATTCTTTATTAAAATTATAGAAGTGCAGATAATGTTATTCTGCTATAATTGCAGAGGATCAAGGCGTGGTTAAACTATTCAAGAAGTTTTAAAGAGCACATTTAATTTAATAGATATAATTGTAGTTTACCAATAATGTGATAATTGAAATACTTGTCCAAATTTCAGAATGCAGTGGCGAATCATTAGTACATTACTGCATGATAAACGAGACCAGTGTGTGGTCATGGCAACAGGTGAGTGTCATTACTCATTTCATTCCGTCTTCATCATTGTTGATTTTCTTACCACAGTTGGGAGCTTTCGATTTCACGACACGATAGAATCTAGAACATAAAGATGTCATTATAATATTTCATCTGCGCATGCGAGAACATTAAGTTCTTCTTGTCACGTGGATTCTAGGACGTAATTTGACAAAATCTACGTTGCGCACAGAACATAGGACAGTCTCGCATTAATAAACCCGTTATAGAGTCGCATTGGCGCGCAAATTGAAAGCTCTTTAATATAGTGAGAATAGCACAATACTGTTTAGACCTTTTGGTTTTGGGGGTCATCCATTAATACTTTTTTCTACATTTTTTAGGGTATGGTAAAAGTCTGTGTTACCAGTTTCCACCTGTATTCTTAAACGGCGTCAGCGTAGTTATTTCACCTTTGATCTCGCTGATGGAGGACCAGGTGCTTGCTCTTGAGTAAGTACTGTTTGATTTGTGTACATTACTGTTATTAATCTCATCAATAGCTGGTATTCGATCAGTTAAGCCCAACTCAGGCAGCATCGTATGTCGGAAGCTGACGTGATCTATCGTCAGGGAGGTCTTCAGGCTGTTGTGAGCATAATAAACATTACCATAAAACCTCGAATTGAAGCCCCTGGCTTCTGTTTTTTTTTTTTTTGCAAACTTGGGCTTCTTTTCGAGATGGGCTTTTTTTCTAGATGGGCTTCTTATTGAGGCTACATTTGCAAAATAAAGAAGGGTGGGTTGGCCTCTTTAAAATGAATGCTGTAAATTTTGGGGATTACTACTTTATAAAACAATAAATAGGGACACTGTTAACATCAGTTTGTGTCATGGAGTGTATTAACTGGCATGAAATCACCTAAACTACTGTATAAATCAAGTATGTTTTTAATTTTTTTGCTTCCTTGAAATTCATGTACAGTGTACTGTATGTACTGAATTATCTAAAAAAAAAAAGCTAATGCTATCTTGAAAAGAAGCCTATGTGTTTCTTTTCAAGATGGGCTTCCTTTAGAGGCTACTTTTGCAAAATAAAAGATAGGTTTCAAAATCGAGATGTGCTTCTTCTCGAGATTAAGCCCATTGGGTTTCAATTCAATGTTTTATGGTATAGTACAAACGATATTGATCAATGCATGTGCAGGTCTATCTTCAATTAAAGACTACTTTTTGAACTGGGTTTCCATGGGCTTTCATAGGTTTGTTCTTCATCAGCTTTGCTCTCTAATCAGAATTATAAAGATAAAAGACATTTGTTTATATGGGACCACAGAAAAGTGGTCTTTAATATAGGAGGTGGTCTTCCATTGGAGGGGACTTTAATTTAACAGGGAGACCTTTACTACCGAATAGTGTATTGTTATATATGTTCGGTTTCTTTTATGCCTTTTCAATGGATAAATAATCAAAGCGCATACAGGGATCGATATTTAAGGAGACATAAATGACGTGAAGTATTTATTCCTTGAGAATAATCCCTAATGTGCTTCAGTACAGTACACAGACCAATCCATTCAATTCTACATTACCCCGAAACTCCCATTTATTATCCTGGAAGGAGAGAAATAACATGAATAATGTACCTTGCCAAGGTACAATCTTCAAAGAATAACTTTTTATTTTGAATTGAAGAGTTATTTCATAAATTTTCTTTTCTTTAAGTGTTGCAAATATTCCTGCATGTTTTCTTGGATCAGCCCAGCGGAATATGAGTCAAGTAACCTCTAATATGTACAAGTAAGTACACACTTACAAATCAGTTTTATCAGACACAGTGATGGCAACAGCACAAATGTTTATTAATATTCAAATCATTTTTTGCTTTCCTACAGTAGTAGTAATTAGTTTATTTTATTCCTTTATTCAGTAAGATCTGCCATGTAAATCCTCGTACTCTTCATAATATTTACGGTAGACGTATAAAACTCAGTATTGTATTATTACTCTGGTAAAGGGGTGGCACCAGTTTTTCTCTGACCGGTAGTCCATCGCTCCCCAACAGATGGGCCAGAGCCTACACCTACCTCAGCCCTACCATGTTTCATTTTACCCCAACAGGTTTTACCGTGACTGCCCGATGGCTGGGCCAGGCCTCCCCACCCACTTTCACCACCCCCTGCTCTGGTAATTCAACTAAACGCTAAGGGAAAATTCCGTAAAATATTGCAGCTTGCTATTAGCACTTTGGCGTGCGAACCTACCCTTTACCAACTTATAGACCCGCTTAGAGAATGAAAACTAAAAGCTGAAGTGTCTTACACAAGGACATAGCTAAAATGGTCTGAGGTCTCAAGGTTGGAGAAGCACTATCGGGTGATTTTGTTAAATCTTACTGTAGCACACTTTTTTCCTATACGTGGTGATTCACATTGCCAGGGAGACAATGAGACAATTCATAGTTTAAAATTTCGCATGCTCGTATGAAGGTCAGTCCATATACACACCATACACACAACGTAGGTTGATGTCAATTGATCTTGGATACAGGCACGGTTCAATCTGCGAATGGGCTTATTGATAACACAGAAATACCGTAGTGGATCTCCTGGAGACCCCCATTACTCGCAGTAAACTTGGGCCCTCACGGTAATACTAAATGCTCAGCAACCCCTGAAAGACCCTGAAAGCCCACATCATAACTGCTGTGCCAATGGCTCCTACTCTAGTTACTATCATTTGTTTTTCTTTTCTAGTGGTTATTACAGGGTCATTTATCTTACTCCTGAGTTTGCTTCTGCTGCTCCTGAGGTTCTTCAGAGACTTGATCAAAGTGTTGGTAAGTAACATCCAAGTTGTAAAAAGTTCAGTAAATTTTTATGGAATTAACACGTTGGCTTCCAGCGACGAGTATACTTGTCCCGCAATGTGTTGCTGGGGGCGCCAGGGATGACTTCAAAATCGGAGTAACCATTCCAGCGTTTGTTACTACTTTGTTATACATCGTAGAACCTCCGACTTAAAACAGCTGGTAGTGGTAGTTCATTGAAGATACACCTAGACCATAACGTGCAAATGACTTATGTATATTTGTTGTGTTATGTTGCCTGCAGTGGCACAAGTGGGGGCGCCCTTTGAACATATACCAACCCATGCAAAACTCGCACTTGGCATAGTGAATAAAAAGTGCTGTGACAGTGCCGCCGACGAGTTTACTCGTCCTCCAATATTTTCCTGCCAATCTAATACACACATTATTTTGATGATATATGACTAGATAAAATTTCAAAAAAGTATGTTTGTACATGTAAACTTGTTTTGGCACACGAGAAGGAAACCTTAAAAAAGGTGTGGCAGTCAACATGTTAAAATCTGTTTCAGTTTGCAGAGATTTTTGCAGGATTTTCAAGTACATACATTGTTATACACATTCATAAAAATTTAAATCTGGGATAAAAGTATAATATTAATTATAACTGTATTTAAATAATAGTACTGTACCATTAAGTCAAACATAACAGAATGTGAAAAAATTTCAAAGAAAGTGATAAAAAGGCCATGTATGTTAAATTCACCATTTTTTTTTTAAATCTTCAAATATAGGTTCAAATGATAATCATGACTTTTCACTGCTTTGCTTCATACTATCTTAAATAAATTATTCATTTAAAAATTAATCGTATGAAATGACTCAGAAGGCAACATTAAAATGGGCTTGAAGTATCTTAATTTTTGCTTATCTTTACTTTTAAAAAAAATTTTATTTTTGAGTGCAGGCTTTTTGCAATTATCCTAAAGGCAATAATTCAAATAGTGCTCAGTTTAATAGTCCTCAGTGATTTATATGCGAACATAATTACAATCTTTTTTTAAATTTCAATTTAGGCTCAAATATTTAGAGTCAATTTAGACGGTTTTACTCTTTTTTTTTATTACAGATATTACTCTCGTTGCAATTGATGAAGCACATTGCGTCTCTCAGTGGGGTCACGATTTTAGGTCAAGTTATCGTAACCTTGGCAACCTCAAGAAAATATTACCTAAGGTAGGTTGGTAATGACTCAAAGTAAAAAAAAATCATACTTGGTATCTTTCCCTGGTCTTTCCAAAATCATTTATTAATGATGAGAATTCATCTTTCTTGATGAGTAGTTAATTTCTATCATTCACTGGATTAATATTGATAAAATTTAACTTGCTAATTTCAAAACATCCACATTTTCAAATTTTCAAATTGCTTTGTCTGTCGTTTGGCTTTCTTTTTTTTAATTCATTGCCAGCTGAATGTTTTCCAATTTTCTTTCATCCCATAAATTTTTAATTTTATGTCAACCGTTTTCATTTCAACTATATTAACTCTTGCCTTCAGTGGCCCTCGGCCTTGTTCGTAGTGATATTTACTGCTTAAATTTAGGTAATTAAACATTAACAAAATTCCCATCTTAGTTGTTTTCACATGTAAAGAATGTCGAACACCAACAAACATCAACAATAAAAGTATATTTAAATAGGTTAAATGTATTTTTAAGTAATTAGCATTCAATTTAATATTAGAATAAGAAAATCGGGTTAATATACCTAATTTCCTTATCAAATGACACATTCATATTCATAAATAATATGGTTACTACTATTCTTTACATGACCCAATTATTAGCTGGTAATCAATTAAAAATGTCTGTGGAGGTTTATAATTTATTCACTTATTATTTAAAGGTTTGCATGGCGAAGTAAAAATATATTTTTAAAATGCTTACAGTAAACTAATCTATTGTCCTTAGAAATATAATCTGCTTATTCACTCCTATTAAATGATCAAATTATTGTTTTTCCATCAAATTTTTAGATTTTCCAGATTTTTTTAATAGATATGTGTATATCCTAATTTAAATCTTAACCTTAGTTCCATTTCTAATTTTAGGTAATCCTCAGGCTTTTGTTTTTGTCGTCTAAATTCTTATTGTATTTTGTACTGATTTTGACTGGAATTAAATAAAATAATAAAATAAATAATATACTATCAACAGCTTTCATGATGAATTGGTACACTTTTAGAAATCTAAAAAGAACGTTCATAATGTACAGTATAAAATAATTTTGTATTTATAATAGGTTCCAATGATAGCACTGACTGCCACCGCAACCCCTGAGGTCAGGAAGGACATATGCAAATCATTGAGATTACAGTCGCCTTTGGTTACCTGCACATCCTTTGACAGGTTGGCAATCATAAGAAATATTTTGCATATTTAGAGTCCTAAGTGCCACAAATGTCATTGTAAATATTGCCTTGATTTTCATGCCACCATAAGCAGTTAGCTCCCCCATTACAGATCTACTAAAGTAGATATGCCACTGGCTTCAGGCCAATTTTATAAGAAAATATTTTGGGTGCATGCATGCTAATGTTATTGAACTCATTTTTACAGCTTATTTTGAATGACAAAAGTCTTAACATACAGTGGCCAGCTAGTTAATATGAGTACCGGAAAGCCCTTTATTTTCATGTTCCCTTAATTTTTGGAGTAAGACGATGATCAGGAAAATTAAGGGAGTGCGAAATTCCGAATGATAGTTTTGTCTTCAGAAGCAAAGCTGTAGCTATCTTGGCCAGCTAGGCTGTTACATTACACTTCACTTAACACAGTCAGACAGTGCGGGGCCTATGTTTTGGTGCTAGCTAAGCAAGGGCCAACATTCAAGGAAATAAAATTCACAGTGTTGTATTTTTTCTATAATACGGATATTTCCCATTAGTTGATAACTATTAAATATTACAACTCTTAGTAAACTTTGTTAGGCCTACATTTGCTGCAAGATATCTAACATTCCAATTTTGAAAAAACCCTGTTCAAGCCTGCCCTGGAGGAGCTGCAGTGTGTTTGCCTAGGTGATGTTAAAGATCCATGGGTTACCCAAGCGTCATGAATCCTCTCTCGGCCTAATCTGCTGATTCCAAAGGAGTAGGCCTGCCTATTGTAGCTAGCCTAAGGTAGGAGATTGTTTGAAGAATTGGGATGGAGAAACCCACCAAAATCAAGAGCTTTAGCTAAAATATAGTAAAAAAAAAACATAATTGTAGGTTTGTGCATCATGTTAAAAATTGACTGGAAATTGCAAAAATCGCAAAAATAAAGGGCCGAGAAAATAAAGGATATATAGTATTTGCATTAATCACCAACCTACATGTTCAAATACTATTGGTCTACTTCTCTTTGCAATATAATTTTTTCTGTTACATCTGAACATTTTTGTTATGTGTTCACAACAGGACCAACTTGTACATTGAAGTTCGACCAAAGACCAATGCTGGGGAAGATTTGATGGCTCTTATGAAAGAATCATCAAGGTTTGTTTATTGTTTATTTCTTTTTATGTTCAGTGTAAATATTGTTTAAATTCTATTGTATACAATGATGACAGCATTGATAACAACTATTATGTACCGCATACATTGATTCTAGGCATTAGATTGATTAAGAAGCGGACAATAACTTTAACCACCATTCCTATGACATAAAGTTAAATGATAGTTCATAAATTCCCAGGGAAAAATTTACAGTACTTTCTTGCCTTGTAACGATGTAATCTCTAGGCCCCACTTGTAAATGTGGTTGCTATGTAATTTATGACGTGCATGTACGGTAAAGAGACCGCAACCTCTATGGACGCTGAGAGAGATTGGCCCTTTGATCGCCTAGGCCTAGGCTTGGTGGGTACTCTTTTCATTACATTTTACGTAAAATCTATTTATAAGGTATATAAAAAAAATATTGACTGCTCTAGTTTCAGGAAACGGTGAGCCTTTCGGTGATATGGAGACAGTAGCCTACTATCCTAAGATAGTAGGCTATGGACAGAAGATAGTAGGCTGCAGTATTCCACATCACCTCAGGGCAATAAATTTCACAATTTCCCTGATGAGTTGTCAATATTTGTATAGTACTGGATAACAAGCCTGTTAATGGTGTAGTATACATTGATTTGAGAAGTAAAACATGTTAATGAATACCTACCTGATTTCTTAGGTTTCATCATGAATTTGATGGGCCAACAATTGTGTATTGTCCCACAAAGAAGTCAACTGAGAATGTAGGGGCCATCTTGAAACGGTACGGGGTCAAATGCGACGTCTATCACGCTGGTCTACCTCAAGAAAAGCGCAAGCAAGTTCATCACATGTTTGTTAGAGATCAGCTTCAGGTATATCTTATTCAGTTTCATAGAGGCTTTGTAGTAATAGTAAGCCTGACTCTTCTGTAAGAATGAAAGGAGATTTTTTTCTTATAACTAATTATCTTTAACTCACTAAATCTGCAACACACATTCCTTGGTGATGGCAATTAAAAGTCCCTTTAATTTAATTATGCCACTGGCCTGAATTTGATCATTTTCGTTTCAGTTTATTGTTTTTCCATCATATATAACATGATAATATACAAAAAAAAATCATAACTAGAAGGAATGGCCAAGATCATCAGCGGAATAGGTTGAGTTGTCACACCGAGTAGACTCCGTATACAGTGGTTTAGATTGTTGAAAATGTAATTTGCCTTTAAGTGTATTTTAGAAGTCAGAATATGCTCTAGTTAGTACGTATTTTTATATAACGCCTATTCCTTTGGGTTAAAAAGCGCTTTGTTTTTCCCTGGTCATTGAGTTCACTTGCTTAAGTGTTGCTGCTGGTAATGAGTGCAGAAACAGGCAGAAATGCCACCAGGTACACACTTATACTCCTGGGTGAAGAGAAGCAATACAGATAAAGTGCCTTGCTCAAGGACACAAGCCAAGTGCACAGCAAGGGATTGAAACCCCGACCTCAAAGTCGGTAATCCAAACCATTCCCACTGCCAAACCGCTTCTCATCAAACCGCTCTGCTTATGTTTGCTATAATATTTTTATATTTCTGTATATTCTCTTGATAGTGCATTGTAGCTACCGTTGCATTTGGAATGGGCATAGACAAACCAGATGTCAGAAATATCATACACTATGGAGGTATTGTAATGTCAAATTATTCATACCCATTGGCTTTTTATGCATGGAATTTGAAAATAGAAGAACAAAACATGTTTAGAGATATGTTTAACCTCATAAACTTTGACCTTGCAGCCCCTAAAGACATCAACTCGTACTATCAGGAAATTGGTCGAGCGGGAAGAGATGGTTCGCCAAGTGTTTGTTACACTTTCTTTTCGTCTGGTGATTTCAGTACAAATAGGTAAGCAGAAAAAAATGATAAATATGAATCTCATTTGTCTTGTGCCATTGGCTTTGACTGCTTTCTCTTTCCATTTTTCTTCCCTGGCAGCCTGCAGATGCTTAGGACCTCAGTGAATTTTATGTTCCTCTATCTTGCAACATTTCTGACATCTCTTGCCATCTTTCATCTGTTTTTTTCCCTTGGTATGTACAGTTATGTACAGCCTCATTGAACCTCAGTAAATTCTGCTTTTCTCTGTCTTGAACCAGCTATTTCATCTTATGCCACTTGTCTTTACTGCCACTTTTCCCCACTGGCAATTCCACATTCTTCCATCTTGCATTGTCACCTTTCAATTTTTCATTAAAAAAAATAAGTGTGGAACTCCTTGACTTGCAAAGCATAAGGTGGCGGAAGTAGACAAGGGAAAAAGGATGCTTTCCATTGTTCCTCTTTTGGCAGCCTACCGGTGCAATGGACCTCAGTGTATTTCATATTTCTCTGTCTTGTATCATCTCTTTCTCATTTCAACTGCATTCTTTTTTTCCGTTGTTTACTTCTGGCAGCTATGCTGTGCAAGTCAGTCAGTTCCACGCTTCTTTTCTTGTGCCAACATTTCATCTCATTCCACTTGTTTTGACATCTTTTCTCTTTCCACCTTCTCCTCTTTTGCACTCTACAGATATGTACAACCTGAATGAACTCCACATCCATTAGGCCTGTAGCTTCTTTACTTCTTTTACCAGTTGTCCTAACTGCCTTCCCTTTCTATTCAAAAACAAAAATTCTCAGGCTTCCACATGCATACAATTTTCTAAGAAACTTTGAAAATGCATAATATTTCTATCATTCTCTAATAATTAAACACTTCTTTTATAGATTTTGTTGATGTGATCTTTTTATTATCTTTTTATTCATCAATCATCACACATTTTTTCATCTCTCAAGATTTTTTCTCCAAGACATAAAGAATGAGACGTTTTACCAACATAAGCTGGAAATGATGAATAAGATAGAACAGTGCCTGCTCAGCACACAGTGTAGAAGAAAGTGAGTTTACGGTTGCTCTGTCTGTTTCATGAATTCTTACAATGATAAGCAAATATTGCCATTGTTTCATTAAGTGAACACCCCAAGAAGAAAATGGAACAGTCCATCCCATGGTACAACATGACTATGCTTATTGCCATATGTTTTTGCTCACATCTTTGTTGCCTTTGGCAAGCATACGACCGTGCCGTGCCATAGGATGGAAGCTTCTGTGTGAATGAAAAAATTTCCAATGAAAATGGCGTGCTAGGTGATGGAACATAATATACATTTATCTTTTTTATCTATTTTTCTTTCAGTGCCATTTTATCACATTTTGAAAGTAATCAGAAAAGTCAAATATCTGGAACATTCCAATGTTGCGATAACTGTAGGAGAAGGTAAGAAGGTCAGACTTATACAACTCCTAATAATAGAGTAGAAATTTATAAAATCTTTTCAAATATTTACAAGAGGCTTTGAAAAGGTCTGTGGCCAGAAAGAAGGATTATTTCAGGAACAAGTGTGGATTTGAAACATTACTGTTAGTATGACAGATTGAGCTAGAAAAAATATTTCTTGAGAATATAAAAACAGGAACCAGCAACTGATTGAAAAGTTATTAGATTGTAAATGAGAAAGTATAGTTATATACAGAATATACAGAATAGAAAGGCATATTTTTTACAATTGTGTTTTAAACTCAAAGATTATTTTGGGACTGTTTTATCAATTGAATATCTAGCTATCTGTTTGGTGTAGTTGAATATTTAGACTCCTATTCCAAAGTGATCTGTAACATGTAATTATTGATAAAACACTTGAAATTATAATTGGTTTACTATAGAGAAACCTTGCTTATGGGGAGGTAAAGATTTTATTTAACATTTATTCAATATTGCAAAATAAGAGAATAACACCAAACACATTATTCTAAATCTTTGATTTTTCGCTACTTAGTATTGAAAGAAAACAGAATCGTATTAATAATGGCGATATTGAAGAAGAATCAGAGGAGAAAGAATTTGGTAAAGAAACTCTAAGCCTATTGCAGGCTATTGATGCCAGTAATGAGCGATTTGGTTTAACCATCCCGATTCAGATGCTAAGAGGATCTGTGAGTTTTAGCCAAATTTTTATTGCCCACACCTATTACTACTTTATTATTTATGAGTGTAGACCTACTCTTCTTTTCATCAGTATTAAATGTTCTCTTGTAAGTGGTAGTTTATATTTCACATCATCTCTATAATGTAAGGTTAGCTTCACACTAGAGCCCTAATATCCTGATCGGGAGCTAACCGTTAGCACTCGTGTAAGAACGCCTGATCGGTTAGTGCTAACTGTTACCAGGATCTAGATACGCTAACGGTTAGCGAGCGCTATTGTTTAGAAAGTTCAGCTTATGTCTATCAGTAACCATTCACATGTACGCATTTCCAATCTCCTGTTTACTATTGGCCAGTCATCCTACCATCATTTTCTTGATATCTGTATCAGGGATTTTATTGTGTGAATGCAAGGGTAAATACTTGTGTTATTTATCTGGATCCTTCTAATTGTTAGCTGGTGTGTGTGTGTGTGTGTGTGTGTGTGAATATTGCCTAAGTAAGAGTAAATCTGGTTGGAGGAATGGTGGGATACCTGTGTCAATGCATCATAATTTAAAGATAGAAAAAATGAAAAGTTTTCGTGAGGTAGAAGAGTCAAGCAGCTGACTCAATTTTGTAAGCCTACAAAATGATTGCCATGCCTAGGCTGTGCTAGAAAGAACCAAAATAATATGTAATTAGGCCTACCACCACCGACTTGTGAGTTGAAAATACTGTAGCTAAAACCATATCAAGCAGTGGCCACATTCTCCCGCTGTGAGCCTATTTTTTTTGTCTTGACAACAACCATCTGATACCTGTAAACCTGTTTTTTCCCCCCTCAACTTCCTATCAACATCATACAGAGGTGAAGATATATTCCTACCCTCATGTATTTTTATATATAAATTAAATATTTTTTTTATATTTATTATTATTTTTTTATATATTATTAATTACCTGTGTGGTAAACATTATATTTTATATATTTCTTTATGTTGTAGAACAATCAAAAAATGCCAGAATGGCTGACCACACACAAGCTTTTTGGGAAAGGAAAGTAGGTTGTGCATTTTTTGTTTAATAATTTGTATACATACACAATTAGGTCTGTGTACCGCATGAGTGTTTTGAGGGTTATAGCTGATGAGGGGTCCCAAGTCTTCCACAAGCTGCTGGAGTCTCCCAGATGTCAGTGAGGGGGGGCTCCCTCCCCCCACACGGCCGCAAGCAAGCAAGAATGTCCCGGAAAATAACCCATCTCGCACAAATTAACGATATTTGCATGTTTTTACGACTCAATGGACTTTGCCGTTAGGCCCCTCCCCTTGGATATTGTTGCTAAGGTCCTGTGTTTTTTTCTGACCTTGTTCTGATTGGTCAGTTGTTAAGTTTGATTTGCACTCTGGCAAAGTCTGTTGTCTCCTTGAATTCAGTGCCATCATGAGTGGATTTTCCGCACGATTAAATTTGTAACGGTACTGGGTTTTGCCTACAGGGTTCGTTCTTCGAACAGGTCATTCGATTCATAGAAAAAGCATTCTGATGGAGAAACTGTAACTTTTTAGCAAGGTTTGTCTAGGTTGAAACTAACTCCGGCTATATAAAATTGATTAGAAGATTAAAAATGTTATTCTTGTTTATAAATATAATTAGATGTGTTAAGAAAGCTCAGTTAAACAGATGCTCCCAGATTTGGATCCTTCCAACTTGTGAACGCTGGCTGTTCCATGATCACAAATTTGATTGTAGCCACTTGCTCTTATGCCATAAAGGCCCAGTGGATATAATATTGGTATAAGCATATCATTACCATAAGAATTTTTTGAAACAGATTCCAGCACACTCTAAATGCTCAGTTTTATTATATTTGTTATCATTATAATAGGCAGGAGACGTTAGCCTAGTACAGGCGACTTGACATGAAAGTCAAGCAATTTCCAACAATCTCATTTCTTTAGTTTTCTTTTTCTAGAGACAAATCAGAGAAATGGTGGAAGGTGTTTGGTAAGTGGCTACATTTTAGCTTCTTAATATTTAACCAGCAATTTTCACAAAGTGGGCTTCTGTGTGTTATTACTAGAAATTAATCAGTCTTATGGATTGATAATAAAAAAAAGTACAATATAGAAACTTTTATTATGTCTAATGCCCCTGTGGGGGGTCAGTAGACACTTGGCTATCATTTGAAAATTTACTTGTGAGAGTAAATCTGGTGAGGTGCATGATGGGATATTGCATCATAAGCAAAGATTTGTCTCGGGGACAGGTTTTACCTTTTTACCAGATTGGTCTCTCTATTGTTGTAGACATATGAGGCAGTAGACACACTCGATGTGCTGGGAGCCTATTTCTTTTGTAGATTGTAAAAATTCTTGTTGTTTTGTTACTTAATTTAAATTTGTTTTCTGCATGTTTCTTCTTACTGTTGATATGTAGGTCGACAGCTTTTACTACAAGGAATGCTTGTGGAGAGAAAATCTTCCGCTAAGTTTGGATGTCTGGTCGGTATTTCAGGGAAAGGACGAGATTGGCTGTATAGTAACCATGCCAAACCAAGTTACAAATTTCTACCAAATCAGGTATGTTTTTTCTTAGTACTAAAATCTAGGAAAAAAAATATCCCCAGAAAATTTCAACCACCTTTTTATTAAAGTTCGGTACTAACAGGATCCTACTTTACTTAAATTGAAGTCAGTCCTCAAGACATAACTTCTTATTTATTTTCATTTTGTTTATGTGTTGTTGTGGATGCCTTGTGATCTTGTACCTAAGATAAAGTACTATACAATTTAGATTTGAGTTGAATAGCTTAGTTATTATTATTTTATTTTATTTTTTATCTTATTTCAATTCGCATTCAACAGCTGGTGGCCCGCCACTTACAGAATGGAAAGAAAAAAACTGATACAAAAAAACAGATACAAATATTAACAAAGTCACAATAATGTATACAAAACTCACTCTAGTATACAGTATGTAAAATAGATTAGCAAAATAAATTGTGAAAAATTTAGTAATGGTATTATTGCACCTATGGAGTTTTTTTACAGAAATACCAAATAAAGATGTTAAGTAATTACCATAGATATCATTAACACATTTAAATAAAAATGTTGAATCCAGAAAATTACGTGAAGTAATTAAGTGAAAGATGATTGATAGAAATTTTTGGAACATTATATACCCTTTATTTTATATAATTTATATAGTGCACTTATCCAGAAAACTTGATGTGGGCGCTTTTTCCCTGGTCACTGGATACAGCATCAATCATACAAACGTGTAACCTCCTGCACTCCCTGGGGGAGTATTCATAGTTACGTGTGTAATCAGCACAACTAATTTCATTCCAAATCATTCACCTCCTACCATGTACCCACTTATAATCTTGGGTGAAGAGAGAAGCAAATCAGATAAAGTGTCTTGCCCAAGGACACAAGTAGTATGATGAGCATTGATCTTGAACCCCCGACCTACTAATTAAAAGTCCAATGCCTTACACGCTGGGCCGCACGCCTATGTGTTTGTCCGTCCAATCTCAGAGTCTTGCATTAATTCTTGTGACAGCAGAAATCCTTCTCATGACAAACCTCAATATGAGACTCCCCCGGTGGGGGAACAGTAGATTTCTACTAAACAGTTAGGTACTGTAAGGAAAGTAAATTTAGCTCATATTTTGTTAAATTAAAATTTTCTGATCATTTCTTGTACTGGTACTGGAATGGGCATTTATAATGCGCCTCTTCCTTGAGGTTGTTATAAAGCACAGTTCTTGTCTCTTGTCATTGGGTCCACGTGCTTTAAGTGTTGTTCCTAGTTATCAACGCAGGAGCAGGCAACCCCACCAGGTACCCATTTCTACTCCTGGGTGGAGAGAAGCAATGCAGATAAAGTGTCTTGCTCAAGGACACAAGCAAAATGCACAGAGAGGGATTGAATCCCCGATCCCAAGGTCCCAAAACCAAGCCGTTTCCCTCTGCGTTAAACAGCCTCCATTGAAAATTTTAATACTTAGTATTTGGGCTTAAATATTTTTATTTATATTTTTCTAGGAACTGAAATCTTTAGGAAAAGAAAAGATCCCAATACATATTTTACCGAAGCCAGTTATTCTGCCGTCTGTTCCGAATTCACAATGGACATCTTGCAAATTTACTATGGGTTCAGAAGAAGAATTGAGGCCAACTCAGAAACCAGTTGACCCCAAAGTTCAAATGTTACAGGTCAGTATTTTTTACCTAATTAAAAATTGAGTGAATGAGTATATAGTTTATTATATTACTATTCATTTTTAATCAACACCTCTTTTGTAATATATTTTGTAAACCTAGCATCCAAATGAATTATTCTTATATTGAAGATTAGTATTTGATTATTCATAGGCACTAACCTTTGCTGTGTTGTTTTTTTTTTTCAATTTTTAGGGCACACTGTACACCAAGCTAATGGAGGTCAGGAATAGCATTGCTAATGAGAAGGGTGCTGCACCTTATATGATTGCTAACAATAAGAACCTCACAGCATTGGCAACAATTAGGTAATGACTATCCGTTGTACACCCCTCTTCCCCGTGATTCCCTCTTCCCAGCCTGGCACCCTTTTTCCTGTGCACGACCCTATTGACTCTTCACCCTTGTACCTATGCATACTCTCCTTGTAGAGTACTTTACTCTGCTGCAGTGGCAGCTCCAAGGGGTGGGGGAGGCTAAGCTGTCCCACAGGGGGGCTTGAGCTTGTATGCCTGAGGAGGTGTGGGGGTATCCACCTCCCAAATGAGATTTTTTTTTTCTACGACTGTGAAAGACATGTTTTGTCTTGGTGTAGGCCTATTTTAAATTTTTTTTTTGGTCCGACGAACACTGCCGGTAGGGATCTTGACTTGTCTGATGTGTTGGGGGGGGGGGACTTAAGCTCTCCTCATGCATCCCATTTTCCTTTTACACTCCATCTCTGAGCATCCTTTTCCCTGTGCCATACATACTCTTCCATATGTATTCTCTGTTTACCTCTCTCCCCTTTGCATCCTTTCTCCCATGTGCACTCATATCTGCTCTCCCCTTTACATCCCTTAACATATTCCCCTATTTCATGTGACTCCCCTCTATTCCTTTTCTTCCTTCTCCCCTTTGCACCCCTCTTGCTGGTTTTTACCCTTTTACATAATTTTTTTTTTCTTCCTGCACACACTTCCATATGTGCCTAATATTCTGTGTACACCTTTTTTTTTTTACACATTTTACCTAATTCCTGTGTAGTAAACCTAAGCTTTTGTGTTAGGATATGTAATTACATAATGTAGGCATATAAATAATTTGATTAGCCAATAAAAAAGAAACATTCATCAGGAATTGCTAGTAAGTTATACTACAACATAGATTTACGTTTCTTAATATTGCTCTGTTTTGATTTTTGCTACAGTATTATTTACATTATTATTTGTTATTGTTGCACACTTTTTATTGTAATACATATTATGTTTATTATATAACATATCAATATATTTTTACTGTTATTTAATATAGACCTAGTTCAATGGAATCGTTGCTGAAAATTGATGGTATATCTGAGGTGCGTGCTCGTACCTATGGTCAACGCTTTATCGATATAATCACAGAATTCAGCAAGGAACACGAAATAGATGTTGATCAATTCCCAGACACCCAGGAAACAACGACAACTGATGGAGATTCTGTAAGTTACAGTGCTGTACACTCTGCCCGCCAAACACAGATATCTCCGTGTTTGGTAACGCAACGTTTGACCGCCAAACACGGAGATCTGTGTTTCAATTTTTTTTTCGGAATCCAATAGATGGGGTAATTACTGACATGTACTAACAATTTGAACACTATATTCAGTCTGGACCATAAGTATTTCACTATTTGCTTGTTTACATTAGCATAGAGTGGTATTGATTTACTTTCACGAAATCATGATTATCTCAGCTTTGTGCGAAATTGCGTAAATCTCCAAAAGTGAGTCATTTTCATTTTACTGTTACAGGTCACAGATTGTGATTAGAATAAAGTGTTTGGTATCATTGTAAAGCTAAAATGTTTGTGGTTCTTTTAGTATTCATTACATGACAATCTGATCACATACGCATTCGCAACGAGTTTTGGAAAAGTGTTAAAATTCGCTAAAATGTCTGGCGGTGGCTGATACTATTTTTTCAAACCCCTGGCGGTCAGAGTGTTAATACGTTATTGTTTAATTAGCTAGTCAGAAAACACCCACTTTAACAAATCAAATGAATAAGGAATTATTTTTTTCTCTGTTACTCTGCTAGAATGACGCTACATACTTTATGCCTAAATAAGGCGTAACCAAGGAGGGCCATTGCTTTTGTTACGTCATAACCTGGTATATGTTATTTTTTACTCATATTTAAGCTTTATGGAAATCGAAAATAGAAATCCCTATGTTGGTCTTTATATTGATTTGTGTATGTATGAAAAGTTTCATTGTATTCTGACCTTTTGGTTTTGAAGCTTTAGTGTACAGATACTAATAAATAATTCAGAATCATTTTAGTGGTTTTTTAAAGGTCAAAGATCACTTCTAAACAATGAAAATTTATAATTCAAAATCAGTTTTTTTTAAATGTATTTTAATTTCTACGGTAGTTTTTATATATATATATAACTTATATAAAACAACTTTTATTCAAAAGCTATAGTTCAACTGAATACAATTTACTGTACAGTTTCTTTTTAATTCCTGTGTGTATACATTTAACAAAACAAAACTAAAGCAGATCATACCACTTATTTCTATCTTTTGCGATCTCTCTTAAAACATCTAAATCTTCAGATTCAGTTAACATAAAATTTCTAGAACTTCGTGTCTAATTGAAGACAAAAGGTTGGTTTGATGTCTTCCAACATGCCCTTTAATACTGTTACTAAAAACAACTGCATAAAAACACATGATGTAAAAGGTTTTTTTTTTATATGTATTTTTCTTATTGGATTAGAAACAACCAACACAGAACATAATCCAAGTAGGAGGCAGAAAACCTCTGTCAGATACGAAACAGATATCCTACACCATGTTTATGGAGGATGGTATGAGTTTGGTAAGACATCTTATGCTTTAGTATTGTTCAATGGTAATAAAACCATAATGATTTTTTTATATATCGCATATTGCAACATGCTACCTTTATACACTTTACATAATTTGATATTACCTCTTTACAAGTGCATCAAACATATATACATGCTTAAGAAAATCTTTAAAAGTAAAGTTAAATCTTCTCAAAATAAATGTAAATGTACATCAAATGTGAGAATTATTTTTGGTGTACCCTCTGGCCTCATATTGGTGTCAATGTTTTTTTCAAAATTTAACTGACCTCCAATTGACCTTATAGTGTATCAGTTAAATTTAAACCATATGTATCAAATTTTAAACAATTTAAGCCCAGAAGAGCCAATTCAATACATTAAAGTGCAACACTAGAATCTGTAAGTTTGCTATCTATAGATATGTTATTGGTAACTACGCACAGACTACATTTGTAACTTCATTACCAATTACAATACAACAGTTGTCAACAATCTTCAAATTTAAACGAAAAGTAAAAAATGGCTTCATAAATTTGCATGTTTTTTTTTTTTTGTTTTTTTTTTAAATTTGTGCTGTTGTTTGTTTCTTGAAATATTATAGTTATTGTTATGAAATCATACTTTGAAGTGAGTAATTTTTTAAGGATTACAAGGGAAATTAGTCGTCATTTGTGTTACTTTTTTTGTTTTTATCCAAGGAATTTTATATGTTGATGTGAATTTTGAATATAATGAAATTACTGTAAATGAAATGGAACCTATCTAGATCCCTGGGGAACAGCATTCCATATGCAGGGAATCAGTACTTACTCTGTAGAGAGAGAGAGAGAGAGACAGACAATGTGGATAAAATGCCTTGCCAATCAGAATACACCAACAGCTGCACTAACTGCTCTTGGCAAAAGATGTATTGTCCAGCACAAAAATCTTGATTGCACAGTTTTTGAACAGTAATGCTATACATCTTGATTTCCAGGAAGAAATCGCTGACAACAGGGGATTTAAAGTTTCAACAATTGGGGGACACATTGCCGATGCACTGGAAGCTGGCTATCCTGTTGATATTAAAAGAGGTTAGTAAAGCAATGGTCATAAAAAGTGAATAGATATGGACAGTTAATGATGTAATTATTATATTATTATATTTTCTACATAATTAGTAGACTCTAAGAATCTATAAAAATTAATTTAACCTTTGAAATCCCTAGATAGTCATTTTTTATGTATGTATTTATTTTTTTATTTTCTTTTTTTATTTGGCCCCACTGAACCACTTTAAAAACATTTTGAACAAGGCCTGACCACACCCACTTTTTTCACGTCTGGGCAATTGGCCGACCTCTCAGGGACATCGGATCCCCCCCTCTGTCAGCCAAATCCTGGCGTCACCCCTGAATCAATTTTTTGTTTGCGAATTGACATTGTAATATATTTAATACCAGGCACAGACTATGTCAATTGTTGAATACAACCTTTCTCTAAATTTTGTGACGATGGCTCCACATTATTATAATGTGGTTTTGTAAAATTATATCCAAACTTTTTCAGCCGGAATGACCGAAAAGCTTCTCAAACTAATTGAAGACACAATTAGAGCACCGCCAATAAATTCTGGTAAGAAATTTATTTAACAATTTTATCTGTTATCAAACTTCATTAGATTTTCTCATATAAAACTAGAGTTTTTAATAGTAGATTGTATATTATTATTTACAAGATTTTTTTTCTTTTGATATATGAAAATATTATGTCAATCACTATACAATATATGTCACAATATTACAATTTGCTAATTGTACTATTAGTTTATAATTAATTAATTCTAAATTTTTTTATTATGTTTTATCATTATTTATTATAATTATTTCTTTGTATATTCTGTGGCACTATCTACGTTCTTCAATAATTTAATATTTTGATTTCATGTAATGTAATAGTTACATTATTTATTGTTACCAGCCAATCAAAGCAGATATACAGATGCCTTCCCAATGCTATTTCAACTGAACTAAACCTAATAAATAATTCCGGTACACTTCTAATTCTAAAACATTTAAGGGCAATTCAAAGGGGTTTAGCCGTTTCAGTAGAGACAACTTTCCTTGCTCAGTTAAGAACTCAAATACTGAGGCCCAGTTTACACAACTGTCACAAGTTCTATTTAAAGAATCGAGCACATATTTCGGTATACACCATTTTATCGGGTCTATTTTGACACAGCACCACCAACGTCTCGTAACTGTTCATTGGGCGGACTCTCAGCAGCCTAGCCTGAGCAAATTTCATTTTTCCAGACACATATTTTCTTTTGAGTACTTTGACAACCAAAAACTCTGCTGGTTTTATGCGCTCCTATTTTCGGAGTTTCTTTTTTTTTTCGTTTTGCCATTTTGTTTTCAAAGACTAGGCCTAGACTAACTCACTACAGCATGAAGGTCGTGTACCGGTCACAGGACAGATAAACACTGGTAAAATTACATAGAGCAAAATGTTTAGGCCTCCAGTAGTAGTTGCCAGGTTGTCAGAAATTTTTATTTCAAATTTGGTGAATAGTGTATAGTGGAAGGGTTGGTCTGGCACTTCAGTCTACTTCTGCCCTTCTTGATGTACTCTGTATACAGTATCTTATCCCAAATTTAACCACATTTTTGTCATGTTATTCATTTTAAATGTGTGAAGTTGGCTAAGATAGAATGATTTTCTTTTCATTAAAATGTTATTCGATTATTTTGTAGATATTCGTCATATAAAACCGATTAAAGAGGCTTTGCCTGAATACATTGACTATCACCACATTAAACTGGCAATTGCTATTCTTCAAATCAAGTTTGGTCTTCCATCAGTGATAGACTCACAGACTACTACAACCAATCCAGTTAGCCAGTCCAAGCCATCTTATGGACAACAACTTAGTGAGGTAGAGTATTTTGATGTATAATATATCTATGCTTTGCCTGTGAAACATACTGTAATTCCTGTTTACATTTGCCTTTTTCACATAGAAATTCTGGGTCTAATTTGGAGCAGATCTAACTAGGTTAATTTTAGGTTAGAGTTTGTCCTCAACCAATTCACACAGTGCTCAGTTTGCCCCTGCATATTCCTGGGTCGAGGGCTAGACCTAGCAATATTGGTGGGCTACTTTTTACCTGGGTTATTTGTTGTAAAACTTTTCCTTTCCAAACAGATTACTTTGTGATGTTCTAATTATTATCTTCAGACCAGTAAATATACAGCTTCGAGAAATTTATAATATTTCAATTTTTCAGCCCAAATGAAATTCTCTGATTTTATATTGCAGGGAAACAATTCGCAGACCAAAATGAACCACGTAAAGCAAACACCAATTTGGACAAGCTCATCGATACGTGTAACAGAGGTATCGCAAGAAGCCAGCAGTAGAGCAAATGAGTCTGCAACCTCCGGTGCCAAGCGAAAAATACCAGCGTGGTTACACGCAAATACAGCTAAGAAGCCGTGCAGCAGCAATGCCAAACAATTTACCTTGAAAAAGAAAAAATCATTGTTTTGAAGCGATTCTAAAACATTCCACATAAAACTGATTAACATTAAGAAGCCGTGTAGCAGCAATGCCAAACAATTTACCCTGAAAAAGAAAAAATCATTGTTTTGAAGCGATTCTAAAACAGTCCACATAAAACTGATTAACATTTGATTTCTGATAATTTGGCTTTTGAAACAGGAAAAATATTATGCAATATTGTACACTAATTTTACTTGTTAACTTATGTTTGCATAAGTTGAAGTTTCAGTCTGCTGCCCTCAACAATAAATATTGTAACAGCAAAATTTGAATTATAACTGATGGTTCTGAAAATGGATTTTATTTATCAAGAAGTTCTAAAGTAAATCTTATTCATAAGAATAACTGAACATGTATGTATAAATTTGTCTACCATTGACCAGGTTGTAAACATGTAAATTAGTTATAACCACATCATTAACTTGATTATGAGCATAGGACATATAAATCCTCACCATTAACTTGGTTATAATAATGTAAACTGGTTAAAACCACCATTAACTTGGATGTATTCATGTAACTTGGTAATAACTTTTGAATGGTTAAGATGGTTTTAACTATTTAATCTGGTTATCTTGTAACCTCATTAAAATCACAATATAAACCCCATGTGTTCTGAATAAAAACTTGTTTATAACCATGTCATTCTGGTTATAACATACTGTAACTATTTAACATGGTAATACATTTTAACCTGGTTATTATTTAACCTGGATTAAACTAACCTTATTGAGTTATTTAATTGAATTGATAACCTCACCATTAAAATGCAGTCACCATAATCGTCACAAGAATGAATTGTTATACAATGACTGTATTACTGTTAACAATCTTAATTATCGTTGTAATGATGCTGTTATAAAGGCAGTGTTACTTGTAATTTATTGCACTTAGTTCTAATTTATTTGCAAGATGTCATAGAAGGCAAATGTTCTACTTAGTTTTATGTGATACTGTGTATATTGATATGCTAACTCAATCGTATGTCATATATTATTAGTACATATTTGCTTTGTCCTGTGTAACAAACACTCAAAAAATATTGCATTGGAATGTATGAGTTAAACGTTAATGAACAGTTCACGCTGTGAAATAATATATCACAGCTGATGGACCGAGAATAGAATAATAATACAATGTTCAGAACTTGCTCGGTATTGGGCTACATACTTCCAATGTGTATGCATAGTACATTGCGATTTTTGTCCAAATTCTTAGTGTCATCTTCCTAATAATTTAAGATGGTGTTGATGATGATAATAATAATAATAATAATGATAATAATATTAATAATTATAAATTAATAATAATAATAATTATTTATTTATTTACGATTTGCCTCACTTGTGATAAAGGAAGCTTCTATGATGCTTTAAAAAATTCCCTTATAATTCTTTGGACCACCGTGATGATGGTAATGATAACAATAATGATTATTAATAATATTACAGTTTAATGTAAAACATACAAACAAGAAGAATTTAAAAACTCAAACACTGAATCCAGTGGAGATAATAAAGAAATAATAATTAATTAACCAATAAATAGAACATAATGTATCTGTTTAGAAGCAACTTGTTCCAAAGTATTGGAGCAACAACAGAACTTGATCTGGCACTGTTTGATGTTTCCTTTTCACCCGGTTATCCTCATCCTTAACCTGGTTATAACCATGTTTAAACCATTTGATTTTGTTCATAAACCGTAAGCAAAAACGATCCAGATCAGTTGAGCAAAGAAACTGGAGTGGTGCATAAGTAGTGTCTGAGAGAAGTAAGTCGGTGATGTGTTTAATTCAATTGATAGATCTGTATGTTACATACAGAATACAGTAAAGATTTATGGTAAAGTTATAGTATAGATAAATATATTATAATCTCTTCTATGCAAGGTATGATAGAAACGTATGTTCGTCTACTTACAGTTGGCTGATAAAATATTATTAAGATGCATGTTGTGTTTGTTTGAATGCAGTACATGATTCCTGGAGTCACCAATGAATGTGTTTCTCCATAGCAAATTTAAAACCTTATGACTTACCATGAGAAATACAGGCAGTTGAATGCGAAAATTCAATGTGGTATTAGTATTACCTAGCTTTGCTTCATAGCACATGTGTAGGGCAACTGAACGATAACCAGGAATGTGTTGAGTTCGACTTCCTATGTGTATGGATGCGTTTCTCCATAGCAAATTTAAAATCTTACGATTTGCCCTTACAAAACAGAGGTAGTTGAATGCGAAAATTCAATGGGGTATTTCCCAGCTTGGCTTCATAGCACAGTGTGTAGAGCAACTGAACGATAAAACTAGAGGGCCTTGTGCTCAAATCTCTGGGCATAATACATTTCATTAAAAAAAACCCAAATATATTGATCATTTGTTTTTTGTATTTTTATGAAGTTCTGACAATAACATAGTACATAGATCGGATTCTATTTTTGTTAGTGATATCAAGTTGATCTTCCATTGTGGAGGGGATTGGCCATATACATAATACAGGTAGACCAACAGGCTGAAATTTTTATCACTTTTAGTGACAAAAAGAAACATGGTTTCAGAAGTACTGTATATTTCAACTTCTTTATAGTTAAATATATCTGATACTTGATTCGGAATTTGGTGTGTGTGTGTCTTCGTTTCATTTCCACATTGTAGCGTCATATTGACAGACGCAAAACGTTTATTAAATTTGTAGAAGGATTTATTATTACCTGCAGATAAATTTTAATATTATAATTATACCGTTATGAGCGAGATTCTATAAGAATTTTGCTGTGTCAGACTTGTTGCGTACAATAATAAAACACGACGAAACCCGATCGCGAGTCGCTCTCCAGAAACCTATACATGATTCTTAATGAACAGAGTCTGCACTAAAATGAAGATCGATTCCAAACGAGGTGAATAAACTGGACGGCTATAAATGGTGTTTACATTTACTCTATAAACGAGTTTTTCTGTCCGCGTAGAAAAAAAACAAGTTATATTTCTTAGTTCACGCTTTGTATTCTTTCTTTAGAAACAGCTGAAACATAATGATAGATATCCGACTTCGATAAATCATCCACTCTACACATATGCAAATGACGATCGTAGAGAAATAAGTGGCGGATATGACGGTTAGATTCACTTATGCATTGTACGATGTGCAACGTTGAAGAGTGCGAATCAAACTCGCACACGCTCATACATTGCAAGTTTGTCGACGTTTGCGCCGTGCGTCGCAGAGCGCGGTCCCAGCCTCTCGGAAGTAGACATACCCACAGATCGTGAAACATGGTTTACCAGAGTACGCAGGATAGAGGTAGGTAACTGTTTCCATTTGCAGTAAGATATTAAATTAGACTGATAATTTTATTCTGTTATTTCTTGAATACGATTGATTTCTTTCTGTCGTCTTTGATTCTACTCAATCAATACGACAGACAGCTTACTTTATCGGGCGACGATGTCTCAGATAAGCTTAACACATATATTATCAACACATTCCCACGTGTTATTTCCAGTAAAACGATATTAAAATTACTAAAATTTAAGATTCAATTACGCAATTGAGCCAAAACCTTAAAAACACCGATGTAAGTACTAGGCACTATGCTTGTTTATCTGTATACAAATGTAGACCTGCAATTTCCAAGCAATTTTTAATTTAAAATTTGTAATTTTCTTCCGCACCCCAAAGATGATTATCAGTGAAACGTAGAGTGTCGGGCTATTAAAACATTAACGATCGCCAGATGATCTTTGATGTTGCAATTTGTCCATATATGGCTACCATCGTCGCGAGCTATTGATAATCATAATTCTAGCCACATTTTGTTGGAAAAAATTCTTTTCCTATAATACTTATAATATAATATTATGATGCATATGCATATAT